AGTAGGATTGTGGAATGCGTTGTTGTCATTCCTTTCTAGAAGCCCAAGGTCATCTTTTGTCTCCACACCTCTGCACCTGACTGGAACTAAATGGGTGGAGATGCCAGCGTGGCCGAAGAAGATTGGACCATGTGATGGATTTATGGGTGTGGGGATAAGATCATGAACTTTCAACTGGGTGGAATCCCAGGGAGCTTTTAGATTTGGGATTCCACAGTTTGTTGCCAATATGTCTGTCTTATTAAATTGGAACTTTAAGGATAGCTCTGCCTTGGACTCTGATTTAATTCTGCATGATATTTGGAATGCTGACACTCTTCCTTTGGCAAAGTCCTGGGACTATAGATCAAAGTATGTGATGGGGACCCTCATAAAACTTCTGCTAAGTCAAGGTCTATCCAAAAGCATCCATCCACCATCCATGGCAATCTTTCTGGATGTTGTACATCATATAAGGAAGACCTTTGTGAACCCATAAGCATAATGTCAGTAGGTGGCTCGGTGGCTAAGACGCTGAGCTTGTCGATCAGAAAGGTTGGCAGTTTGGCGGTTCAAATCCCTAGTGCCGCATAACGGAGTGAGCTCCCGTTACTTGCCCAACTTCTGCCAACCCAGCAGTTCGAAAGCACATGAATAATGCAAGTAGAAAAAATAGGAACCACATTTGGTGGGAAGGTAACAGCGTTCTGTCCGCCTTCGGCATTTAGTCAGGCCGGCCACATGACCATAGAGATGTCTTCGGACAGCGCTGGCTCTTTGGCTTTGAAACGGAGATAAGCACCGCCCCCTAGAGTCAGGAACGACTAGCACATATGTGCGAGTGGAACCTTTATCTTTACTTTTAAGCATAATGCCAGGGCTTGGTGGGTTTTTTTGTGGCATCGAAACCACCTATTTCTTTCTTTATTTTTAATTTAAAAATATGTTTTGAGAGTCAGCTACAAGAAGTAGCCTGCCAAGCACCAAGGGAAATGCCAGCTACTCCTTTATAACTATGAAAAATCCTTCAGTGAATTCCCCAGTGTTCAACATGTTTCACTTTCATGCTAAAATAAATGACATTTATTTTTGTTGCCCTGCCCCTTCCCCCTTTGCAATGTTTAATGCTTTTCACCCTAATCTGTTACTCCATGATGTAGGCAAAAAAGCAAAAGAGGTTATGTAAGCTTGAAATTCTTCCCTTCAGCCTGGCAAAGAGTCACCAGAGCGCAAAGGGCAGCTGCCATTCCAAAATGAAATATTTGGCCACAACTAATAAAGACACAGCATATGCAGAGAAATTTAGCCAGCCTCTTAGGACATGGAGGTGTTGGTAGAGAAACTAGAAACTTCATTTAAATTCCACCTCCAGTTCTTCTTGTTTACTCTCTCGTGTGACTCTCATTTAGTTTCTCATGCACTTCCATAATGCAACTTCAGGGCCCGTGAAATGCATTCCACTGCATTTCAGTGGAATGACACACGGCTTCTCCAGGAAGAGCATTAGAAAAAGCCAATGACTCCCATATCCAAATGGTGCCGGAGTTTAGTTCGGTTACCAATCAAACTTTCCTATAAGAAAATATTCTCCTCCTTTCCTTTCCTTTCCTTTCCTTCCCTTCCCTTCCCTTTCCTTTCTTTCCCTTTCCATTCCTTCATTTCCTTCCCTTCCTTTCCTTTTTCCCTTCCTTTCCTTCTTCTGTTTCCTTCCTTTCCTTTTTCCCTTCCTTTTGTTCTTCTGTTTCCTTCCCTTCCTTTCCTTTTTCCCTTCCTTTCCTTCTTGTGTTTCTTTCCCTTCCTTTCCTTCTTCCCTTCCTTTCCTTCTTCCCTTCCTTTCCTTCTTCTGTTTCCTTCCTTTCCTTTTTCCCTTCCTTTCCTTCTTCTGTTTCCTTCCCTTCTTTTCCTTCTTCCCTTCCTTTCCTTCTTCTGTTTCCTTCCCTTCCTTTCCTTTTTCCCTTCCTTTCCTTTTCCCCTTCCTTTCCTTCTTCTGTTTCCTTCCTTTCCTTTTTCCCTTCCTTTCCTTCTTGTTTCCTTTCCTTTTCCCCTTCCTTTCGTTCTTCTGTTTCCTTCCCTTCCTTTCCTTTTTCCCTTCCTTTCCTTCTTCTGTTTCCTTCCCTTCTTTTCCTTCTTCCCTTCCTTTCCTTCTTGTGTTTCCTTCCCTTCCTTTCCTTTTTCCCTTCCTTTCCTTTTTCCCTTCCTTTCCTTCTTCTGTTTCCTTCCTTTCCTTTTTCCCTTCCTTTCCTTCTTGTTTCCTTTCCTTTTTCCCTTTCGTTCTTCTGTTTCCTTCCCTTCCTTTCCTTCTTCCCTTCCTTTCCTTCTTCTGTTTCCTTCCCTTTCCTTTTTCCCTTCCTTTCCTTCTTCTATTTCCTTTCCTGCTTGTGTTTCCTTCCTTTCCTTCCCTTCCCTTCATTCTTTCCCTCCCTCACTTCCCATCCCTTCCCATCCCATCCCATCCCATCCCATCAATTTTAGTTTTGATTTTCTTCTTTGTGGGTCTGTGCAGCCTTCTATTTATTCTATTACCTTATTTATTAAATTTACTTGCTGCCCATCCCACCGTGGGGCTAACCAATTTCATTGTATTTATTTTGTAGAATGACAATAAAGGCTATACTATAATGTAGGTGGCTTTTTACAGTTTAGTTTTTACCTTTTTTTTACTAATTACAGTTTGGTAACGGTTGTTAAGTGGATCACTGCAGTTGATGTTACTAACCTGGTTGTTAAGTGAATCTGACTATCCTGTTGACTTTGCTTGTCAGAAGTTCGCAAAAGGGGACCACATGACCCTGGGACACTGCGACCGTCATAAATATAAGTCAGTTGCCAAGGGTCTGAATTTTGATCACGTGACCATGGGGAAGCTGCAAAGGTCGTAACTCTGAAAAAAACGGTCATGTCCCTATTTCAATGCTGTGGAACGTTGAACGGTCACTAAGAGAACTGTTGTAAGTCAAGGACTATCTGTATACATCTTACTATCTTCTTCTATATATATAAAAAACGGCTGTGTTTGCGTGCGTGTGTATTTCAGCATAACTCTGGAGCGCCTCGAGCAATTTCAACCAAACATGGTACACAGATGACTTACTCTCTGGAAACAAATACTGTGTGGGTAAGACATCCCTAACACCCCTCAATTTGTGTGTTTTGTTAAGATACAGCCTGTTGTGCCTTAAAATGGCTTCTACTGTACAGCACAGTGGAATTGCCGTGGTAACAGCTTCACAGTACTCAACAAGGGGAAGGGGGGGCGGGAAATCCAACATTAGAAATTACACTTCTGGGGGCACAGGGAAAACATTTTTAACTAATTGTTGCTGAAATCAGGATTCAGGAAGTTGCTTTTGCAGGCTTTACAGTACAAGGGGGCTCCCTCTGGTAAGGGAGAAAATCCAACATTAGAAATTATGTTTGGTCTGGACATTTTCCCCGTATAAATAAATACCCAGACAATACTGAGTTATCGGCTAGTGCATTATAAACAAATTGTGGACTCGTTTGCAATGTGAAAGGTTTAGATATTCTTTTATTTACATTTTTTCTCAGCCAAATACAATTGCACTTATTTCAGAGAGAATCAGAATGCTGAAGAAAAAGGCACAATACTGTTTCTTAGTCCCGACTGCCAACTGAGGTGAACAGTTTCACTTCTAGTAATGCATAGTTTAAATACAAACACACACACACACACAAAAACACTTCTCCCTCACCTCCACTGCACATTTAGCACCTGAAAACAGTGCTCCATACAGTATACCCATTTTTTTCGGAGGGGATCAAATGTGTTTTTGATGAACAGGTGCTCACCTTGATTGCAGAGGCAAAAGAATGAGCCTGGCATAAAAACTAAAATCATTAAAAAAAAACAATTTCACAGTCTGACCAGAAACAAGAATACCATATTTTTCAGACTATAAGACACACCGGTGTATAAGACGCACCAAGATTTCAAAGAAGTAAGTAAGATTAAAAGGTTTTTGTCCTCCCTGGCCAGCAGGAACACTCTGCAGGCTTCAGCAGTGCTGGGAAGGCAAGAACGTCCCATTTTTGTAAAAAAACGGGTGGAAAACGGGCATTTTTTTTTGCAAAAATGAGGGCATTTTTGCCTTCCCCCAGTCCTGCTGAAGCCTGCAGAGTGGTTCTGGGGGCTGGAAGAAGGCAAAAATGCTAGTTTTTGCAAAAATGGGTTGCTGGGGTGGGGCTTCGGGAGGCCAAAAATGGCTGCATTCGGTGTATAAGACTCACCAACATTTCCATGCTCTTTTGGGGGGGGGGCGTCTTATACTCTGAAAAATACGGTAGGTAAAAGTTAGCTAGAGACAGCAATTTGGCTGCCTGTGAACACATAGTCTAATGTTTCTGGTTAAAGAGGGTTTGTTAAGGTCCAGAATTCATCCCAGATAACAGCAATAAACTCTTATCAACCAATGCTGGGAGGGGGGGGGGAGGGAAGGAATTACATAAATGAAAAGGTAATTCTATTTCAAATTCACTTCGAATCTGCTGTTTTCTATCCCAGGATAAAAGACTCACCGGCTCTACACCAAAGCTTGATGCCATCCCATCTTGAGTAGTGACAGTTTTGCTGGTTCTGTTGCATAGCAGGAGAAAAATCTCCAATCGAGGGCCCATTATCCCTCTCCAAACTTAACCCAGGTCATTTGGGCTGCCCAATGTGACGGCACAAGGAAAGAAGAAAGAATTCAACTAGGGGTAAAGATAAAGGTTCCCCTCGCACATATGTGCTAGTTGTTCCCGACTCTAGGGGGCGGTGCTAATCTCCGCTTCAAAGCTGAAGAGCCAGCGCTATCCAAAGATGTCTCTGTGGTCATGTGGCCGGCATGACTAAACCCTGAAGGCACACAGAATGCTGTTCCCTTCCCATCAAAGGTGGTTCCTATTTTCCTACTTGCATTTTTTACGTGCTTTCGAACTGCTAGGTTGGCAGAAGCTGGGACAAGTAACGGGAGCTCACTCCGTTACGTGGCGCTAGGGATTTGAACCGCCGAACTGCCGATCTTTCTGATCGACACGTTCAGCGTCTTAGCCACTGAGCCACCGTGTCCCTTGCTACTTGGGGTAGGGAGGACCAAGCTCCATCATCAAAGAGGGGAAGCCAATATGCACCAAGGGTGAAATGCCGCCGTGCCAAAGGGAAGCCCTGATAGAATCTCAGTGTTTCAACCGTAAGTGCGGCCTCATCACAGTAAGGATTCCCACCAGGGAGGAGATAAGACCACACAACCCTATAACTCCAGGGTTGGTCTTGTAGATGCCCAGACGGTCCAACGGGCTGAAGATGTCGCAAAGGTTCTTCACCGTATCCAGCAAGAGGGGTGGATAGTCCTTTAATGTGAAGAACACAAGCAGGAGGAAAGTCTGTAGCTCCCCGTTGGTAAGGAATTGGAACTTCTTCTTGCCAAGAGTCAAGGCCTTTTCAGGCTTCTTGCTGCACGCTGTCTGCTTCATGCGCCAGCAGAGCTCATAAAAATCCTTGATCAGGTTTATCACCAGGGAATAGTAGTAGCACTTGGTCGCCCAGTTGCGCCACTTCTTCTGGTTGAGCTCCGAGATGAGCCCAATGCTCTTCACCCACAAGACGGTGTCACAGGCGAAGTACATCACCCGGTTCACATTGGAGGCCGTCAGGCAGAAGCGAGGAACGGCGTAGGGCAACTGGGAAGCTTGATGGGTGGCCACCATGGCATGCACAATATTGCCAAGTCGAAACACTGCAAGAGAAA